TATATATATAAAGGGAGCGAGAGAGAGAGAGAGAGAGAGAGAGAGAGAGAGAGAATACTGTCCCCTTTAAGAAAGAAAGAAAGAAAGAAGGAAATAAAGAAATGACATTCTTATGTTTTCATTTTTCTTAGTACGTCACAATGTCCCAGAAGGGGTGGGTGGGGAGAGGCAGGACCTCTCGCCATTAACTTTAGAGAGGCGACTCATTCAGTGATCTCTGCAAACAGCCAATCGTATTGCAGCTGCTTACAAGTCCAGGCAAAAACCAAAAGAAAACATACAGCAATTACCGATGACTGACAGTTTTAGCGGTAATCGAAACTTTGACTTTTTAAAACCAGGGTAAACCGTCAAACCGACTATTGTAGGATAAAAACATTGTTTTGTCATTCAGCAAGTTCTTCATTTAGATTTACAATTCAGAAAGTAAACATTTTTGTTTCATCTCCAGGTGAAATCAAAGTTGTGGATGGCTCACCCTTTGACCTCAGGCAAGCTGTTCTGATTGGCCCTCTGCTAAAGAAAGTTCCAGGTGGGGGATTTGACCACAACTTTTGTCTGTCGTCACCTGGAGAGCCATGGACTGAGCGGGTTGCTGCTAGGTTAGCCTCATCGTTATTAAAAACAGCCACATCCACGACATTTGTTTGTCTCACATTGCCACCCTGTAATTTCAGGGTTTCTCACTCAGCCAGCGGTCGCATTTTAGAGGTTTCAACCAGCCAACCAGGAATCCAATTCTACACAGCTAACGTCTTGGATGGCTCTATCATCGGTAAAGGTGGAGTTCAATATGGGAAACACTGCTCTTTCTGTTTGGAGACACAGAATTGGCCGAATGCTGTCAACCAGGTATGAAATTCACTCAGAAGATCACATTGTGAGCTCTATTAAATGCAACGCTGTTTGTAATGCGCTACTTCAAATGATCAATTTGTAGTACCAGGAAAAGAAGTTGAGCAGACTCGCAATCGTACTTTTTAAACGAGACCCTCAAAATTGGTGTCGTAAGAAATTTTTCAGAGGAGTGATCAAATATTCATGATGATTGAGGATAAATTCAAATACTAGAATCACCTTTTGACCAGGGCTGAGCAGTTATTGAAAGTAATCTAATTGTAACCCCCATCACACGAAATTGCAATTGCGTTTTGCAAATTTTTTTTCAAGGTCCTTTTCTAATGCATTTCTCAACAGTTCATCTTTATTAAGCAAAAAATATTAGCGATGCACCGTTAATTATAGGATAAGACCGATAACAGGGTGAAAAAAATGACTTTTATTAGTCCGATATCAGCAAAATTAGATCCACATTGAACACTGCCCCAAATACAATAACGATGAAGTTACAGTGAGATATTTGTTAACACGGCTTTAGTTTTCCCAGAGGTTTATTTGAACCAAGCTTTCGGCTGCGCCCAATTTCACGATGTGATGACTGAAAAAAAATTGATCTTGAACACGTACAACCAGCCAAAGTCTCCTTGAGTCCAAAAACAATATTTCTTTCTAAATATTGAAACTTGGTGTAAAACGTTTTGTAAACACACACAGCGCTCGGCTGGGTCCCATTCACTTGATTGAAAGCCGCTGGCTCGGTGGTCACCCAGTCCAAAAGCTGGGGCACCACCGGAGACTGATGACGACCGTGCAATGGCTTTTAACTGGACTTTTACTTTCGTTGCTGAATACTATAATCGTATGGACTTAATCAACATTGTGTCAGCCCATCTCATCCATTGTAAATATCGTTTCATAGTTGGAATTTGTGTGTTTAAGCCGCATTGAATGTCTGTTCTCTAGTGTCAGTTTGAGTCATTCAGAACAAAGACAAAATCAAGCATCAAGAAAATAATCACCAAAAAGATAGTCCTGTTATTTTTTTCTTCCAGTATTACCTGCACAAACCTCCACCTTGTATGTAAAAGTGGCTTGGTGGAACAACCTCAAAAGTGCACTAATATTCTGTCGCAATAAAATAATAATAGTCGCTTTGTGTCTTTTATTAGGCTTCATTTCCTGGCTGCCTTCTTCATCCTGGCGAGGAATATCGACACGTGACTCGTTACACATTCACTTGTACTGACTGAGTTGGTTGATGCTTCACAGATTGTTTGATCCCTGCGATAACTATGTTCATCGACACGAGGCCTGGAAGTATATCTTATGTACATTCCATTTAATGACTTTTTTGTATGCATATGATTTGCCAATCCCTGAAATATTCTGTCAATTTGTATCGCATTGTTTTGTGTGCAACTCTTCACTAAAGAGTGTTTAACATCTTCACAGTGAACTTCCCAGAACAGGAAGTGACATTTTTTGGGAAAGAAGCACTTCTGTATTTGTCATTTTGAAATCTGTATCTGTGAAATATTGTACATTTTTAATCCATCCATCCATCCATCCATTGTCCGTTTATCTTCAGAAGGGTTACGGGGCGTGCTGGAGCAATATATGGAAGCGTCCTCAGCGGCTATGAAAAAAAACCCCACATCATTTGATATTTATGCATTGAATGAAAAATAATTCTCAACAGCTCACAAATTACAAAAACTAAATTGTAATAGTGTCTGTTATTAATTAAACTCTATGCGCATGACCCACTGTATACAGTAAAGTGTACGAATATTATATAAGGGGACCTTGAGTAAGATGATCAGAACATGATGGACCATTCATGAAGTTTTTTGAGTGTGGCTCTATGGTATATTGCATATTGCCTGGGCTAAAATGTTCATGAATGTTATCTTTTTTAAGTTATTTATTTTTGGGTGTGAGGTGGGTTATGACCAGTGGCATCGTTAGCCCTATTTTAAGGGGGCTGAACTCTCTCTAGAATGTTTTTAAGCACTCCTAAATGATTTGTAGCATTTATATATAGATATATATATATATCTATATATATCTATATATATAAAAAATCCAGAAAATTACATGAAATATTCACCCAACATTTTGTGTGAATATAATCATAATCTATGGCAGGGGTCCCCAACCGCCGGTCCACGGACCGGTACCGGTCCGCAGGGCATTTAGTACCGGGCCGCACAGAAAGAACTTGCCTTAATTCCGTTTTATTTATTTCGGAATACGAAAGATGTTATTTTTTTAGAAAAATTACTGGATTCTCCAGTACATCCATCTGTGTCCCGCTTGACACACGTCAAGCCACGCTTCTCTGTCACATGACCGATTACGCTAAAAACAAAACGCCGGCGCTCGCAAAAATGAGTAAAAAAACTGCTGGAGATCGCAAATGCCGGCGGCCTTGAAAGTACGTTCGAGACAACTGGATTAAAGTTATGGGTGAATACTCTGAGATCGCCACAATAGCACTGTTGCTATTTCCGACATCCTACCTGTGTGAGGCGGTGGTTTTCTGCAACAACGGCGACTAAAACAAAATTACGAAGTAGACTGGACATAAACCACACACTTGAGGTGTCATTGTCTGCTATTACCCCGAGATGGGACCGTCTGGTTGCAGAAAATCAAGCATATTATTTTGTTGTATTATTTCCGCCACACCTTAAATGCCGGTCCCTGAAAATATTGTCTGACATA